CTTAATCTTAAAATGTCCCACTTTTGGGAAAACCCCTTTTTCCTTCCCCCTCTCCGCCCCCCCCCCCAATAGTTATAGCATCTCTGCTTCTTGAACCATGGAAGTTTCCAAACATTGACCTTTTCTCACTACTCTTCTGGTTACCTGGAGGAGTTGGAAGACCTGTGTCAGAGAATGATGGCTAGAACACTCCAGTCCAGAAATCCAGGCTTATTATTTTCTTAGGAGACTATATTTCTTTCTCTATGCTGCCCTGAATCCCCTAGTTTTCTGTTTTAGTTTACTTCTTCATAGTAGCATTCCTTGACCACTGGGTATGCTCAATCCTTCCCCAATAATGGTATGTTGCTGTGATTTCACAAACAATGGGATTCCACTAAATCTGTGATTCTGTTCACACAATGTATTATGTGACTACGTTGATTACATAAAGATCTACACTTAGATCTTGAGTTCTTCAGTGACAAAACGGGCACCTGAAGTGAGAAAATTGGGGATGGGGTGTGTTTGTGTGTGGGTGCATTAGCACACACGCATTTTCTTTTTCTCGTGCAAGTACTAAATGAAAAGTGGTGTTTCTGTATCCCACTGAATATATTTTTAATGTTATTTATGATAAAGTAGCTTATACATGCAGCATAGAGTTACATCCTCCGTCAACATCCTCCTTCACTCAGGTATTTTTTCTAGAAAGTTTCTTGTGTGTATATGACCCTCTGCTAGACAATTTCAGAAATGTAGAAGATGTAACATTGAGAAAATTATTAATTCAAATAACCCTTTTGATGCTATTTTTTTTTTTTTAGTCCTTAACTGAATCTTTAAAGACCTCGCCTTTCTTGTGGTATTTTTACTCTGCCTTGCCTCGTGCTCTGGGTTGCAGTATTGTATTTCTACCACTAGGTGCAGTAGACAAAAGATGTCGAGTATTAATTCTACCCACACTTGGTTTTATTTTCTTGTATTCCTTTCTCCCACACAAAGAGCTGCGGTTTATAATATACACTTTTCCAGTTTTCAATATAGTGGCTGCCAAAGGCTGCTCACGAATGTAAGTGTACTTGTACATATATAATTCCTGTTTCAAGAACCTGACTTCATTATTCATCACTTGCTAGTTTACCAATCACATATTTCTCCAAATATCCTTACTAGAAATTCTGGGAGTTGCAGTCTTAATCATCTGGTGGGCACCAGGTTGAAAAAGGCTGACGTAGAAGAAAAGATTCTTATTTTGTCATTCCATCAGGTCACCAGTCAGTTAATATTGGCCTTAAGATCTAATGAGAGTGAGTGACATGTAAAGTGGATTAAGAGTGACATTTCCTACAACCTCTTGGATTGGAAAGTAGATGGGAAGAACTAGAAATATGTAAGCTGTTTAGTCTTATGAATTTTAAATAACAGGGAAATAACATCTCTCTTTATAGTGGATTAAAAATCCCCATGTAGAACAAATTCCATTTTATTAATACATATTATATCCATCTTAAACAGGGATGTGCAACTTTCTGGCAGCCAAAGGCCACAAGGAATACCCAGGGAGATCATGATGTCAGGGGAGTAGAGAGGGGCTATGTTGGGGACAACTAGGTTTTTGAGGAGAAAAGTGGGTGCATTTATTTTTTTCAAAGACAGAAGATACTCATTTTTCCTTTTATATTCTTCCACTGAGAAACACTGAAGTGATTTGGGGGTGTGGCCTTTCTTTTTAATGGTGAAATAGGTGTCTTAACTTCTGCACCCATGTTACTCTTTAAAGTCCGCTAAAAGCCTGAAACTCTTCCATGATTGCAAAGTTTTACTTTCATTTCTATCTAATCAGGGTTTAGTATCAGTGAAACCTGAATAAACTGACTAACCTGATGTATATTATTCTAAAGCAGGCTGACTTTGAGCTTTGTTTTATGATATTGGCCTTTTTCAGGAAAACAGCTAAGGTTAATTGCAGTTTAGGGTTTGAGTATCATGCTGAACCACACTTAATTGAAGATGGAAATACACGTTTCAAAGGAAAAGTGTGTGTACATGTAGGACACAAGCCCCGGGCTCCCGCATGTGACAGTAAACAAGTTTATTACAATATAAAATGACATCTATAATTCATGTAGCCTAACATTCAGTGTGGCGTTTTAAGAGCTGTATATTAGAGTTGGATATATTGTGTGGAGGCAAATTTGGCCACTAAATATATTATTATTCTTTTCTTCACAGTCTAAACAATTACAAGAAATCATGGTTATACAAATTAGGCACTCTATTTGTTATAGCACACTTTCTAGCTAATGCTGCTTACTCAGGAGCATCACTCTATGTGTCCCACTTCAATTACCCTGGAGGAGTTGCTATGCAAAAGCTACACCAGCTGGTGCCTCCAACAGCAGGTGAGTAAAACTGGGTTGATAAGAAATAAGTCATCTTGTAGCTGGTACCTTTTGTGGCTTCTTCTCCAAATTGGGTGGGGCTAAACACCCAGGCCTTTTTTTGCACTTTGGTAGGTTTTAAAGGATAAAGTGGCAGCTTTAAGGCTTGTTCTTTTAAGCCTTATTCTGGCCTTGTCCATTTTGGGGGTGTGACCTGTGATAGGATGATAAGATGTGAAGAGGATAATACAGCTCACAAACCAACATAAGTTGTGAAACCCTATTAATTACACATTCATGGACATTTTGAACTCCTGTGGGATTGAAGGAGCTATGCTGAGGAGGCAATTTGGAATAGAATGGTAATAGAACGGTGTTTCTTAACCTAAGCAACTTGAAGATGTGTGGACTCCAAGTCTCAGAGTTCCCCAGCCAATGCATGCTGGCTGGGGAACTCTGGGAGTTAAAGTCCACACATCTTCAGGTTGCCTAGGTTGAGAAACACTGCAGTAGAATGTTAATAGCATTGTTGATAGAATATTAACAACTTGTCCTTCTGAATGGACTCTAAAGCTGTGTTCCTTTATGTAAGTTGAGTGGCATGAAGGGGGCATGTATCAAATAGGTACATATTATCAAATTAGCCTCTTTAACAATGGTTACAATACTGAGAATGGAGACCATTAACTCTGATGTCAGAAGAATGTGTGCACCCTTGCACTATGATGTGAAGTATATGGATCAAGACTCGGCCTATCTGAATCCAGCATTTTGTTTCTTACTGGCCGAGATACTTTTGGAACTCTCACAAGCAGGCAATAGAAACATACCCCTATCCTTCTGTTGTTCCCCTGCAAGTCGTATTTGGAAGTATGCTGCCCACAACCTGGAGAAAACACCAAGTGTTATCCCTTAGTAGACTTGCCTTGCATGAATTTATCCCATCTCCTTTTAAAGCCATCCACATGAGGGGCTGCTTTTACCACATCTTGGCGTAACAAATAACAGAGATTAATTCTCTGCTGTGTAAAGAAGTGCTTTCTTTGTTCTGGATCTTCCAGCCACTTTCATTGGATGACCTCAGTCCTAATTATTTGATCCTAGTATTATGGCAGTTGGCAATGAAGTGATGGGAAAGTTTTGTCCTTCTTAGCAGAGCCCTTCTCAGAAGCTATAAAGGAAGGTATCTGCAAGGGCTATACAAAGTATTTGGTAACAGGCATCTGGTAAGGCCAGCAAAGGATCTTCTCAGACCTGATGCACTGAGGGGACCCTATGCTTGGATTACTCAGCATGGCTGTTTCAAAGCCCTTTTCCGGATGTCTGAGCAGGGAAAAGCATGAACAGGAGATACTTCCACTGAAAGTGCTCTTTTCATTTTGTTGGGATCCAAAGGCACTTCTGTGAGTAAACAAGTTGCTAGAAGTTGGTGCTTTGCTTTTTTTTTTTCTTGTGAGCTGCTCCTCCTCCTCCTCCTTTTAACTAAAAGAGTGTTTTAAAAATAAAATAAAATAAAGAATTGGGCTAAATTGTAGGTTGAGGACCTTATTCATTAATATTAGGTATATTAATTCCACACCTGGCATCTCCAGTACACTGTCCAGCCAACATTTTCTGCCTTGCTCCACCTTTTGGCCTTCAGAATTCTTTTAAACAATAAAATAAGAACAAATCCACAAGCCTGCCCATTAGTATAGGCTGCAATATCTCCTTGCTTTCAAGTATATTTATTCTCTTTCCAGATGTTTCTGTCCACATTGATGGAGCTGCAGCACAAACTGGCGTGTCTCGATTTTTAGAAGTCAATTTGGATTGGAAGTAAATATATTTGTGTGTGTTTGTGTGTGTGTACGAGAGAGAAGATTATTTTTCCGTTTGTTATATATGAATGAGATTATTCCTGTGGTAATTTCTTGCTCTTATATAGTATTTGTTTTTGTGTAGTCCAGGGCTAATATTCTTCTAGCTCTTATTAAGTCAGAATGTTGCATAGGAATTCAGTAGCAAGTCAGAGCTGAAGGAAAGGTTGTCCCTTGCTTCTTTGTAGTCCTTCTCCTTGCAGTGAAGATGTGGTGGCAGAGCATACAGTAGGAACCAACATGCAGACAATCTAAAGCTCAAACCCTATTATCTCCTTCAGAGTAAAAGAACCTGTGACCTTTCAAACATTGCTGAACTACAACTCCCAGCAGTCTCAATCAGCATAACCAATGGTGAAAGATGATGGGAATCATCTTTCAGCAACATCTTTGAAAGGTCACAAATGACCTACCTCTGATTTCCAAGCATGGCTGGGTAAGACTACTTTTTCAATCTCTTTGGCTTCTGTGAGGCAGGAGTGAGCAGTCAGTGGCCTCCAAACTTGGTTTCTGTTTCTCTCTATAGCCCTCTGTTACTTCACTGTTATTCCTACCATTCTGAGGTGGGAAAACACAACAATTGTACTGCAAACCTAATATGGGAAAAAGGGTACTGGCTCTGCCTACTTTTTTCATCATTGTCCAGCTGTGTCATTCTAAGCTCTGCCCTTCTAAGACATTAAATATGGTTATCAAGCATCAAAATGCTACCCAGCCTGATGCATGATATGATATCCTCTTGTTCTAGATAACTTTTGCTTTCTGTATCCAGAATGTTCATTAGACCAAGACTATTTATATTAAAACAGATCCTCTTTAATTTGAGGGGTGTGTCAGAGAAATTACTTACATGTGTCAGGGTTTACTTAGTTTAAAATAAGTAGTTGCTTCTTTTATGCACCATATGCACCTAAGTTCAAACTATCTCCTGGCAAACTAACGATTAAAAACAGGTTATTTATGGGTTCTTTGTATTTTGTTTATAAAATCAAACTAATTTTGGAGTTGGAGGCAGATGTTTAAAACTGTTTATTAGATTTTTGGCAAACATCAAAGGAAGATATTTTTCAATTAATATAAATCTGGGATATTTCTGTGTGTATAGGTTAAAAAACTTGAGGTTAACCCCACAGTTGAAGAAGCTGGGACTATTATGTTTTCTTAAACTAGAGAGTTTAGTATCTTTGAGTGTTAAACACAAAAGACAGGATTTCACTGTAAATATACCAAAAAAACCGGTTTAATAGATTTTTATAAGAACTCATAGGTGTTGCCAATTTACATTAATAGAAATCTGGGTAAAGATTTTGCATATTTCAAAATCGAGGTGTACTACCCATTCAGAAATCTCAGTCATCAATTAAATATACTCAAATTAGGTCAGAATGCATTTATTTATTTGTTTTATAACTTCTCTTTCTGTTTAGATAAGCACTTGAGATGGCTAACATTTAAAAAAAATAAATACTAAAATAAATACTAAAGTGATTAAAAAATAAAACTCTGGGTAAAGAGACATGCCTTCACTGACTTTCAGTATACTGAAATTGTGGTGATTAAATGCAGCTCTGGAGGGAGCTTGAAAGCAGTTCAGGAGAAGGCCTTCTCCTACATGCCATTTAGATGAGTCTCTGACAGCAAGGGCATTTTCAGAAGGGCTTTTCCTGTAGATCTTAATGACTGGTCACATCCTTTAAATGTTAATACCAACAATATCTGCTATCTTTCAGCATGGGTACTATATGACCTCTATAACTTGCACAGGTTTTTAGCCTTGTGGCAGTGTTTTCCATAAGCTACAACTTCTGGATGGTTTTCTAGGGTAACTTACACAAGGTATTTCATAGCAGTTATGATGACCAAATCTGACCCATTCAGGAATGATCATAGCTGGGTCACAAGCTTTAATTGTGCAAATATTCTCCCCAATAGAGATATCATCTGCAAATCTAGTTGACAGCAAGGAACAGTTCAGGCACTTTGGACTGCTAACTTGATCTGTAGGGGAGGCACAGCCCCATCCCCAAAAGGTTGAATTTCAGTGTTCATTCAGTTTATATTTAACCAACACCACCTTTGCTTTGCCTGGATTTAATTTTGGTTTGTATAACTTCATCCACTCTGTTATTGAACTTAGGCAACTGAATCGGATGATAGGAAACAATAGAACCAGCGTCATCAACATATTGATGGAACCCTACTCCAAAGCTCCAAATGACCTCTCCTAATTATTTTATGTAGATATTGAAGAGCATGACAGATAAGATAATATTCTGTGGGACATTAGTCTCTTTCTGCACATGATTCAGCAGAAAGGACCAGAAACACTGCAAAGAATGCTCCCACAAACTAGTTCTACTGGGCAGTTCAGAAGGATCCCATGATTGATGAAATAACCAAAGAGATCCAGGAGAACCAGCAGGGCAGTATGTTTTCAGATTTTGTTGTGGAGCAGACATTAAGGTGACCAGAGCAGTCTCAATTCAATTTCTTGGCTGAAAGTTTGATTGAAATGCATATATCTCCTGGGTCAAGAGAAGGATTTTATTGTTTGTTTGTTAAGAGAGGTGGGGTTTTTTTGTGCGTGTGCCTTCAAGTTAGTGTCAACTCCTGGACCAATCCCTGCAGTTTCTTGGCAAGATTTTTTCAGAAGTGGTTTGCCATTTCCTTCTTCCTAGGGCTGAGAGAGAGTGACTGGCCCAAGGTCACTCAGATGGCTTTGTGCCTAAGGTGGGACTAGAACTCACTGTCTCCCAGTTTCTAGCCTGGTGCTTTAACCACTTCACCAAACTGGCTCTCTCGTTTAAGCAAAAGTTAGTACTTCCCATTCACAAGGTGGTAATGATCATTTTGCTTAATCCCTATCTTGGTTGGCTTAATCAGCTAAACAGAGCAACAAACAAGTAAGCAATTGGTGGTCTGCATCTCTGCACATTGTCCTTGAAGTCTATAACCAAAAAGAATACAAAATAAGACAACAAGCGGTTCATAAGGTTACATCCTGACAATCTGATTCAGCGACTGTTATCCAGACAGGTCTAATTGCTTTTGTCCCCACAAGTAATGATGTCAATTGTGTAAAGTGAGCTACCAAGTGTTCTGACCCTCCATTCACATTGCCTGAACATCATGGTGAAGAAAATATCTCACAAAATAGAAAATCAATTTCTATTGTGCAAACACAGTAGAAGCAGAGAAGTAAGCACTTTGAGCTGCCTCAGAGGACCTCAAATGGTCTTTCAGGTAGGCTGCACACCAGGCTTATTGGAGATGATCTACGGGGGGAACCATTCTCTTGTGCATGCTCATTTAAGTCTTGATGATCAAAATAAACTCAGAGGTTCATTGGAGCCATCTAAAGTTTAATTCTCTTGTGTAGCAAAGCCTTAAGAAAATTACAGGCATTTTATTGCCTTGTTTTGAAGATGGACTGCAGTAGGCTTGAATAAAAGTTGATTCTGGCCAGGCTTGATGTTCTTAGCTTTACAAACTTTGATTTGGGATGAAAGGATTTATTCAGGTCAGGAATTTTAGAATAATATTTGAGAGAACCTGTATTCTAATAACAGCTTAGTCAAAGGGAAGTACTGCCTGAAGCGTTGGCCAGTTGCTTAGTTTCAGCCAGCAGCTAGCCCAGAGTTCCTGTTTCAATTAAAAGGTGAAGCTGACATGTCAACCTGGTAACTAATATGAAATTCCTGAGGAGGATGAGAAAATGTTTCCAGATGATGGAAAAGAGGCTTATTGGACTACACTCTGGGGCCACATTTGCACACAACATGTTAAACCACTCCAGCTAGTTAATATGAATGCAGATACTACATTCTTACCTTAATCATTACAGCTGGTTAATGTAAATGCACCACTTCTCTATGGTTAATTGTAACATGAAAACACAGGACAGTCACCATGTCTGATTAATACTACTAGAATGTCAAAGCATGGCTATTTGTTGGTTTGTAGATGCTTTTGCACCACACCTTTATCCATTCCAATTGATGTGAATCTATAGCTCCTTTAATAGGAAGTGTGACTTTTGAAGATGGAATGTCCTCCAGTTCTGGTTGACTGGAAACCCTGGTTTATTAGTTGATTCTAACTTTCGGTCAGTGTTAGTGAAGAATGGTGCTCATCCATGTTTGAAATCATGTTTAATAATAGGGAGTCATCCGCCAAAGTTGAGCTGTGAATGGAACAGGGGAAACGAAGTGCAACATGTGTTCACAAATTTACTGTGGTGTACAAATTATATGCCATTTATACTCATGCTCCAGGCTATATTGGATATAATCTTATTCCACATAGCTATGGAGTCATCCTTTTTTTGACTTGGAGATGTCATGCTATTTTCATTGCATATGTTCTTCAGTGAGACTGGAAGTTGGCAGACAAGAATTTGGCAATCTGGTAGCTCTTGAGCTCATAAATATTAAAAGTAAAAAATGGATAGGGGCAGAACAAATAGACTGAACTACCAAGCAAGACTGAAGGCATTAATTGGTATGATTAACTGGAGCCAGCCAGTCAGGCTCTCCTGTTAGCTCCTCCAGTCTCTGTGTCCTGTTTGCACAGGAACTTTTCCATCCTTTTCACTGTTGGAGGATGTTGAGATACTCCATGCATGAGGGTAGGGAGGTTGATTGGAATAATTTCCCTCCCACTCAAATTATTTTGCCAGTGAAGCAGAAAGACATACATAGACATTTAAGGTCTGTAACAAGAGCTTCATGAGAATGAAAAAGACTAAGCTATGGGAGCTTCCAGAGGCTGCAAAGGATTTTTTTTTTAATCTGGAAAAAGTAGAGCATGAGATTCATTCTAGAAATTTGTAGAGTTGACTAAAAGAATCAGATGGCTTGCAAAATTGTACAGGAAACAAAGTATAATGGTGGCTATTGGCTATTTAAGTGCTGAGAGCCCAAACAAAACCCAAGTACATGGGTTCATTCCATTTTTCTTTTTTTTGCCAAAATTCATCAGCTCTGGCCAGTTGGTGCCAAATTCCAGGGACGTGCTTTCTCAATTGTGTACAATCCAGATTGCTCACTTTTGCTTCATGTGTTGATGAGAACTAAGTCTATTGGATCTATAGAGCTTACTTCCAGATAAATGCTTATTGGAGCTTTTGCTCAGGAAAGGACTTATGTCTAAAGGGGGTTGCATTGGACTGAGAAGTTGAATTCTCAATCATTTTTCTCAGCCTACTGTTGCTGAGAGTCACACTTACCAATCAACATTTGCAAGAAGTCTGAGGGTCGCAGTGGGCAAAGAATGGCACACACAGAGTTGGGAGGAAACATTTTGTTTTTATTCTCTGGGGAAGTGGTTGGAAGAATTCTGAGGGCTGTGTTTCATTCGAATGAAAATCATACCTCTACCATCAAGTTTTCAGCAGTTTATTCAGAAGAGGCCCTAGGAAGGCACAAGCAGAGGTGGGAGGCAGCTTGTAGCCCTAAGGCCATGAATTGCTATCTCTGATCTAGATAATATGTTGGGACAAAAACTCAAAAAATCCCACTCACTATGGTTGTGTTGCCCGGGGATGTTGGGAACTGTAGTCTCAACTGACAACTGAGAATTTAGAAGGTAACACATGAGATATGCTTTATTTAACTAGTTTTCCTCTGGCTGTCACTAGTTTTCCTATTGTTGCCATAGCTACAATTGGGGTAGCTCTGTCCCATTGTCCTATAGGGCTGTTTTACTTTTCCTATAGTTAGTTTACATTAGTATAGTTGCTTCTTTTGTGGCTAATACACTATTCTGAACAGCTAAATTCTTAAACTGACTATTTCTGTGCCCTTTCTGTGCTGTGCAACTTGTTTCCATCTGCTGTTCCAGCAGAAATGGAATTCAGTACCGGAAGCTCTGATACCGCACTGCCTTCCCTTCCTGTTTTTTGCAATGGCTGATGTGATCATGTATTAAAAAAATTCAGATCCTTCAACAAAATAATATTATCCTTGCCATCCAGTTACCAAATATGCTTTTAAGAAACCTCCCTGTTCTATGTAATTGTTTCCTGCTTCATGGCTGTTTCCTATATTGTTTTCATAATGTTCCTTCCTCTTTCCTGGCTACAACCTAAGTCTCTTTTCATGTTTGAATGGAGCACATTTCAAATATTTACTGACACTTTCAAGACAACACCATGCTCTAATTTTGCCCCAACGTATTGACTATTCTGGAAGACTAGGCTTTGCCACTGAAGTAACTGAAACAAACATGGTTTTGTAAGCCATCTTTGCAGACATTTCAAGACAGTTACATGGATTGTTAAACACCACCCCCTTGCTACATAATCTGGAATCAAAATGCCTTATATGGGGGCTGTACCAGATGACTGTCTAGTTCTACCTTTCTAAGAAGTTCATATTACAAACTGCTTTTTGGATCAAATGAACAGTAATATGAATTGTTAAAAACTGGAGCTGAGGCATTTGTGTATAGAATCAAACTCTGACTTCATGAGTTTGTAAATTAATCCATGCAGTTCTTTTTTTATAATTTGAAGGCAGTTTTTTGCTCACAAAAATGAGTTCTGAAGTGGGGTATAAAGATAAACAGTACTATAAAATGTAGCATCAAGTATAAAATAAGTAATCAGCCAATTTAAATGATGCAAACATTGATCTGTAAAAAAAAATTAAATGCTCATTTTTAAAAAAATGTTTTCACCCAATGCCTAAAACATTTCACTGGACTCAAAAACTGGCATACTCCCTTATTTCCAGACTAATGCATTAAGTACCTTTGAGACACTATGTAGCACTATACTTTGCCTTTAGGAAATTTCTGACTGAAGCAATTGTCAGAATTTTTTTTTTTACTTGCCTTGGGGAAGTTGAGTATTCTTGTTTTGAACTGTTCATTCTCTTACAGGTATGACAAAAGGGAAGACCTTAAACCAGGTGACCCACTTATGTTCTCATACACACATGTACTTATGGAGATGGATTCAGCTCAGCTGTCACATTACAAGGGAACTCACAAAGTCCTTGCACGTATTCCTGGCACCAGTGGAATTGGACTGAATTTTACTGCACTGCCTCCTATTACTTTAAATTTGAAACCCAAACTAGTATTGTTGGAAAAACTCCCTATTTCTTCTGGAAAATAAATTTTAACAACTTTGAAATAGTTTTTGTTAGAGTTGTATTGCACTAATTCAAAACCATGACATGTCAGTGAAAGATCAAGACTACTATTTGATTCTATTCATTTCACTTATGAGAAAAACTTGCATAGAGTGTGTATTTATTACAAGGAATGCCAGCTATATTTCAATATAATTGAAATGTGTAAAATATAGTACATTCCAAGACATGTTTCATATAGTTACATAGGAAATATATGTAACAGAGTTGTAATGTTTTTATGTAACTGTATGTATCTTTGTGGATAGTTTGTTTTCTACCAGGAAAAAAAAAAAAATAGCATAGTGTGCTATTTTGAGCTACAGCATAAAAAATGCTGCTTACAGTATCTACAGGTAAAAAATCCCATATACCAAAACCTGAATGTCATAGTGACATCAAACAAAATCTAGAAATCAATGGATGCTACTTCTGTTTTTATCTGTTGGGTGGTTTTGCTCATAGGCACCGTTTGCATGAGACTATCATATCCTATGTTAGGCCCAACTTGCCATCCTGATAAAATTTCTTGCTCAGGTTTCCTTTATTTATCAGTTGTCAACCATGGAGTAAAGATTAACACATTCTAAGAATTATGGGAAAATCAAGCTGGCCTTGAAGTGTTAAGAGACACCCAAGCATAAATCAAGAAGTAATACTCAATGTCAAAAAAAAGTCATTTGTCTTAATCACTTACCGCATTTTAAGGGATACCTTCCATATAAACAAGTATATAACTAGATCATTTAAGTTAGCTATAGTAACTATTCTCAGTGGACACAGTACAGATAAAGGAATGGGCTAGGAAGTATAATTGTGTGATGGCCTACAACTTGTAATTGAAGATGTGCAAGGAAGTATCTTACATAACTGTGTCTTAAAATCATTCATTTTTAATGGGTGTACCTTGACACAGCATGAGTAGGGTGCAAATTTACTTAGATGCAAGAAATACCATCCTGTAAAACTGGTTTAACCACACTGCTGTGTTCTCTTGCATGCTATGCTACAAGTTTAATCAATTTTGTTGCTCTTTTGCATCAAAGAAAACAGCATTATGTATCTTCCTTGATGTACAACTTATCTATTCATAGCAGCTGTTGCTATTCAGGACAAGGGAAGCATTAATTTGTCATAGCAGCCTACATTCAAAACCTGCACAACTTATTGGGTATTGTCTTGTGGGACAGACACTGCTAACAGAGTCATCTACTAGAAGATCTTTAAAACACTGCTTGGTACTTCTGGAAGAATATACTACTCTTTCTGCTGTTGCCACTTGACAATTATTTCATGTGAAATGGGGTATACCTGATGTTCTATGATGTATAATCAACAGCTGTGAATATAATCTTGTGGCATCTTAAAAACAAACACATGTTCATAATGAAAGCTACTGCAGATAACATCCATGAAAGCTTATGTTACAATAAATGGGTTGCCATTCTTTAAGATAACACAAGATTATGTTGGGGTGGGGGAGGGAGAGAAAACCAGTATATTTCTGATAGTTATGGCCATAGCCTAGCTAAAACTGGTATTCACAAAGAAATTATACCTGTGAAGTATTAAATAAATAAATAAATAAATAAATAATAAATAAATAAATAAATGGCTAGGTATAGGGAATCTTCATCTTTCTTCTACAATTATATTTTTAGGCCTTAAGTGTCTCCTTAAGGCATATGTGTAGGCAAATAAAGATGTGTATTTCCTATTACTGAAAATTATTTTTAGCCAGGAGTGTTAAAATAATAGGTACTATGCAGTACTCCCTTACCTCATTTTAAGATTTAAATATTTCAGAACATTTAGCTTTCTATATTACCTGAAGAATCTGAAAATACTGTTTTCTGTATCACTACACTTGTGCTGTGAAGACTATGTTAGCATTAGTTGAATGCTACCAAAGAGCAACCCAACATACCTAATTATATGGAATGAACTCTTGCAGCCATCAGTGCTGTCACCCAACATTCTTTCATATTTTCAAGAAAAGTTTTGCTGTCTACTTTTTAACCAGCCAGAATGTGATAACTATGTGTAGCAAATTTCAAGACTCATTTTGTTAATCATGTAAGAAAGACCCACTCATTATATAAATAAGCATGTGCATTCCTTGAGCATATATCCACACATTCAATGGCTACTGGTGGCTATCACTTTCCCATATTTGTAAGCTAAATAGGTGGAGGAAAGGCAAAATCATCAGTTTAACCACTGTCATTCCCAAGATGTTTACAAGAAGTCTCTCAGTGCCATAACAACTGCCCATAGCTATGTGCACCTCCTGAGCTTATCTCAGGTTGCTGTCTAAAACAGTGTTTCTCAACCTAGGCAACTTTAAGATGTGTGGACTTCAACTCACAGAATTGGCTGGGGAATTCTGGGAGTTGAAGTCCACACATCTTAAAGTTGCCAAGGTTGAGAAACACTGGTCTAGAACATACCACTTTTGGTCTCTTCTCCCTTTCTCCCCACCCCTGCCCACAGTTATGATGATTTTAACATGGTTTGTTTTCATCTCAAATTCATTAGTGAAAAAATTGGAATGGTCTGCATTTTAAAAACATGAAAATGTTTCTAAATATAGAGCTAAATTAATTAAGGTTTATGTAGTCAAAATATATATTTTTAAAAAATTAGCTCCTCAATATTGTATTACTGAAGATATTTCAGATATATTTGGGCCATAATGTATCCATTACCTCATATATCTCATTATATGGGAGACAGAAATACTACAAGGAAATGTTGAATGAAAGATTGCAGAAATGATTTGCCTTCTAATTCTTATTCCAAAAGTTGTTATATCCAGGTTATGCTCCTACACACCTAAATAACTTTCCAAAATCACAAGTGTCCACTGCATTCTAAGGGGGAAAAAATGGCTGACATTGACTCATTCTCTAAAAATTGCAAATAAGATGTTTAATTTCAGAAACTGAATCCATCATTTATAAATACACTAAAACATAATAAATGCAAAAATTAGGCAGAGGTACAGTACAGTATTTTAACAAAACTACATCTTCAGTATTTTAACAAAACTACATCTTCAGTATTTTAACAAAACTACATCTTCAGTATTTTAACAAAACTACATCTTCCCTAAAGGCTTTAGTTAATTTATTTCCCCAAAGAATTTTATCAATGGACTGGGGGGGGGAGGGGGGAGGAAGGGGAGAGGATGGAGAGAGATATCTTTTAACTTCTTTTAAAATGTGGACAGCATAATGTAAATGCTGGCTATTCTTACCTTCTATCTGAAGATTAATAAAATTCTACAATATCTTACTTGGTTGATGGACACTGTCGATTATGGTCAGTTCTACTATATAATATTCTATGCAGGGCACCGATCTATGGGCTGTGCAAATTCTTCAGGTGCATGTGAAGTGCCTGTGCATGCAAGGACAGTCCAATGCAAGTCCTGCGCGTTCTGAAGCACCTTTTCCGTAGTATTTGCACAGTCTTAGAAAGGATATTCACTGAAAATCAGCTTCTTGTAACAGGGATAATGGAAGAATGCCATACATAATTTTCAGTTACATGGGAAACCTTAACTACCTTTTCCCACCAAGAAGTAATTAATGTTTTGATTCATTCAATTGTAAAAGACTTGGCATGATGCCTGTTCTTATATTTTATCTTTCAATGCACTGCATTAAATAACAAACATTAATTGGAAATTTTTGAAAATAAACACCCAAAAACCTTATAAATACTCAAGCTCTAATTCAGTTACAGTGTAAAAAAAAACCTGAATAGGAACCATGAATGGCAAATTTATAGATTACTGTATAACTGATGTTTCTTAATAACTCTAAGTTTAGTCAAATACTAATTCAACTGCCATCTTTAGTACATACATACTTGAACATAAGTACATTAGGCCTGCAGTTAAAACCTGCTAAATAGGAAGATGGCTTCATTTCCACCTTTATATACAGTTTTTTTCTGCAATTAAAGCAATGTTCAGCTAATATACAGTACCTGGTTTCTGTTTTTACATAATTGAATAAAGAACTACATAATAGAACTGTTTACATCCTTTTTGCCATTCTATTCAAAATGTTTTAAAATCTCATTTACAATGTTCAATCAAAAGCTACATAATTTTGTTTAATAATTGGGACAAAGACAAGGCTAATTCTAATAGGATTTGTTTAAGAAAATGTATATACACTATATCTGGCCTGAAGGACTATTGATAAGGCACATGTAGACACAGAGAGAACTGAAAAATATAACTAAGTATGAAATAACAGGCATTGATTAGATGTCATACATGGCCCCTAATGGAGCAATTTAAGTTACAAATATAGTAATTATCCAGTGAACAACAAGAAGTTTAGACTGGCAGCCTGTTCATTAATTTCAATACTGGAAGTATATCAAAGGAAGATTTACTTTCAAAAATATAAGTTTTTCAAAGTGTTCCATTGCTAGCCTTGATTGACTAAAGCTGATGTTTTCATTGGATGTACTGAACAATCTCTCTGATGGAACGATGCTTGGAGGACAACCTAGGAATCGAACAGCCAACTTTGACAAAACTGGCCAAGATGATTTCTTAAAATTCCAGTAAGTGAGGGGATCACAGTTATGCTCAAGCACTTCTTCCTCCAAGTATAAAAGCACCATTTCCTCTGGCAACTTAGTCTTTTCTTTTGGAAGTTTTGCTTTTTTCATGTCTTCCATCAGTGACCAAAGACTATTGTCCCCATAAGAGTTTTTAGATGATGAACCTATACCACAACCATTGGAAACAGGTTTATTATCATCTGAGGTAGCATTTAGTATTTCTAGCTCCCTGACTAAGTCCTGTTTATACTGTTCTGCTTCTTCTTCTGTGAATAAGGAGGTCTTATAACGAGGGTCTAGAAGTGTAGCAAAAATATATCTTGGATCATGGAGTATGGAGGACAACCTACTCACCATAGCTTCTTTTAAAGACTTTAGCATAGTATCTATGCCCATTGTTTCCTCAAACAGTAGTTCAATTTTCCGGTTGAGAATATGAATCATTGGAATTACTTGGCTTAAAGTGGACATATGCGTACTCATCTCTCTACTTGCAACTTCAAATGGTTTGAGTGCATGACAAACAGACTGCATCACTTCCCACTGATCACAGCTTATTAATTCCCTGAAGCTACACTCTATAGACATTTCATCAATAGCTCTTTTCTGTTCAATTAGCCTTTCAAGCATATGAAATGATGTATTCCATTTTGATGGAACATCTTGGATTAGCTGATGCTGTGGCAAATGATATTCTTTCTGCAGCTCTGCCAGTTTTTCTTTTGCTTTTGCTGAGCGATGAACACGTTCACATATCTTTCTGGCAATACTAAGCAGGTTCTGAACCATCCTCTGGCTTTTAATAGCTTCATTCACTATGAGATTCACTGTGTGACAAAAGCATTGCACACTTGAATGTTCCCCTTCATTTAAAGTTTTTCCTATAGTCTGATTATCTGTAACTGTAATCCCAATCTGTAGCCCAACTGATGTTATCCAGGCTTCCCACCAATATTCTAGTTGCTTCTGAATGCTGATACCATTATAGTCACAATCAATCTGTGAAACATTTAACAAAGCTGAACAATGGTAATCTTCACACTGTGGTCGAACCCGAGACCCAAATGTTACCCAATGAGCAGTGAGAGTTAGATATTCCCGAGTTTGATTGCTCATCCATATTCCAGAGGTAAAGTGGACTACACAACTTTCAGCTTCTTTAAGATGTGAAACAATTATTTCTTTCACACTATCATACATATCAGGAATTGCAGTATGAGAAAAATAAGATGGTGAAGGCAATGAATACTGAGGTTGCAAGTATTCAAGCAATCGATTAAAACCAATATTATCTACAAAAGAGTATGGCTGAAGATCAAGTGCAATCATTTCAGCTACAAGACTCGTAATTTTTTTGGCAACAGGATGCGTGTCAGAAAATTTGTCACTGGTTTCATCAAAAGATGAAGATCCCAAAAGATCTGTGCTCAGAGGTACATGATTATTTGTAGAAGAGGACAATACTGGCTCTGAGGCATCTGGTTTTAGGACATGATTATGAAACCGTTGTAAATGTCTTAAAAGGCAACTGGTACCTAAATTGGTTGGCTTTTTCCCTCGACTTATTGTACGTCCACAGTGCATACATATTACTTTAGTTGAATCTGCAGAACAAATTGAAAAATGATTCCACAGCTTTGAGGTCTTTTTGCTACTAACAGGAAATATGACTTGAGTATCATTAGTAACCATTGTGGGTAAGTCAGTCAGTTTTGAAGATGAACGTTCTGCAGAAGCCAAGGTAGCATAAGGAGAATTTGCTAAACTGGCATCTATAAAGCTCTTTTGGATTCCTATAACTTCAGGATGCCGCCTGTATAAGTGTCTTGTCAAATAGCTTGTGCCTAAATCACCTTTTTTCCCATGGTTTATCAAACAACTGCAGTGTCTACATACAACTTTTAAATTATCCTCTGGAGACAAAGAAAAATGATTCCATACTTCAGATTT